TTCTAGAACCTTGTTCGTTATAGCATTCGTTTGTTATAGGATTAATCCGTTCCAGGCCCCCAAATACAACCACTTAACACTGAAAAATATAATATAAAATTGTAAAAATTGTAAAAAAGTGCATAAATATGCATCTAAACCCCTGAAATAAAGAATATCATTAATATTTGTAATAATAAAACAATAAATTAGAAAAAAAAAAAAATTAAATTATGTTCGTTGTAGGAGTTTCGTTCGTTATAGCATTCTCAATTTTATAGGTAAAACCGTTCGTTATAGGAATATTCGTAGTAGGATCCGTTCGTTATAGCATACCCCACTGTACGTGTATGAGAATGTAACGGTGAAACAGGTATAATCAATTATATAAACATTTTAACTTTTTTTACTTTTATCCTTTTCACCACTGATCGGCTCGTTAGCCGCTTCGGCGATCGATAACATCTGTTACTTTACTTTTTCTTTTATCCTCTTCACCAATTGATCTGCTCGTTAGCCGCTTGGGTGATCGGTCACGTCTCTGTTACACACTGTTGGCAAGTACTGGGCATGCACTGGCTCCTGAATGTAGCTGAACCTGCTCCAGTGTTGGTCAAGTCTGGTCTTGAAAGAGCTCACACTTGGTGCCATCACAACACTTTCTGGTAGATTGTTCAAAGAGTTCACAACTCTCGCTCCAAAAAAGTTTGCCCTCACAGTTTTCTGGACCTGCGGCTTCTTCAATCTTGAGCTGTGACCCCTTGTGGGGCGAGTGTCAGCCAGCTCCAAGTAAGGACATTCGACTAAATAGTGCCCCTTGAGATGCTTATACACCTCAATTAGGTCGCCCTTTGCCCGTCTGTAGTATAAGCTAGGTAAGTTTAGGCGCTCCAATCTCTCAGGGTAGTTGAGGTGTTGAAGTGCAGGCACGAGTCTGGTAGCCCTCCTTTGAACATTTTCAACTAACTGACAGTCCCTAGCATATCTCGGAGATCAGACTGGGTGACAGTACTCCAGATGGGAAGCACTTCATTCTTGAAGATCGTTAGGAGGGACGAACCGTTTAAATATCTGAACGATTTTCTTATAAGACCCAATCATTTATTTGCCTGATTTACCTTCTCACAATGGCCCGAGAACTTCAGCTCATTGTCAACATACACACCTAGGTCCTCTCACATTCAGTCTCAAATAGTGCAGTTTCTTCACCCCATTGGGACATATGATACGCCTACTTACAGTTGGTACGCCCCAGGTGCATCCTCTTACACTTCGTGACATTGAATCTCAGCAGCCATTTCTTCGACCATTCTTGGAGCCCACAGAGATCCTTTTGCAGCTCTTCACAGTCCACATGGTTCTTGATTTCCCGAAGTAACTTGGCGTCATCGGCAAACATTTATATGGGTGAGTTTGCTGACCAAGTTCGGCGCAGTATGTTTGATGGATTAATTCTGCGTGGCAGTGGGTCACCTGGGAATTACCTAAGGTTGGGTAAGTAAGATATAAATTTTGGTGGGTTGGCCCGCAGAAGAATACTTGAATCGTAATGCGACCCATGACTGAGGAAAGGTTGCCCATTCCTGCCTTTGGGCATTTTAGCCCTTTATCAGGCAGGGGCTCCCCTCAACTGAATAAAATCGTCTGGCGTTAGCTAGAATAAAATACCTAAGGGATATTTAGTCCTCTAAAGGGTTAATCATCAGCTGGGGTGTCTAGTCTTCAGGTGATCCAAATAAATACCCAAATGACCCTCAAGTCGTGAAATGATTAATGAATCTCTCCACCCACCCATACACAATTCACCGAGATGGTTCATTACATTCATTACAGTACTATAGGTATTGCTATTTAAAGCAAAAGGTTATTCTTGCATGTTAGCACATCTGTAGTTTGTCCCGTGTCACTTGCGTGAAGGGAAGTTATGGTGAAACATCTTTTATTATAATTATGTTAGGTTGGGTCTAATTGGACTAATTTGTTAGTTTTAATAGAATTAAATGATGCAACAGCTATAAGGTTACCAAATGCAAGCCTCTAATTGCATTGTCCTAGGTGCAATCCACGACCCAGGGCAGATGTGAGAAGGAAAAAAAAAGGGGGGGGGCGTTCTACATAATGCAGGAAATGTACCGTAATGTACCACGAAGAGGTGTCCATAAGATTGAAACCAAATTACAGTATCATTCGAGGTCATAGTGTTAAGTTATTCATAAAAGTATTCACGCGTCTCTAAACACATCGGCTTTCAAGACTACTGGACAAGCATTGGGCAGAATAAGATGCCAACATTTGTGGAGTATGGGATGTTTGTGTTCACACTCGGGATGGGATGGAGAAAGGAAACTCACAATGTGCTCTCTGTATACATGTTGTATTGGATGTACTGTAGTGGATCCCTCCCCTACAAACGCTTTTGTCGCTGAGTAGACGACCCCGCGAATTCCCCAGTGTATGCCTCGTGGTCTGGGTCAACCGGCGCTGCCTTATATGACGGAGGTCAACTACTAAGCCATGCCTACCTCCGCTATTTTAAGACCTGACCTCGTGGTGACCGCTCTCTTCTTCTAGCTACAACAGCAAGCAAGCAACACCACCTCCTCCGCCGCTGACTGGCTGCCCTCATTCCCGCCGGCGAGCATGGCGACCCACAAGCTGTCCTCCTCTGAGCATCCTCACCAACCAGTTCTCTCTACACCACGCTTGTAACCACGCTGCCACTTCCCAGCACCAAGGTGCATTGTACATCCAATACAACATATATACAGAGAGCACATTGTGAGTTTCCTTTCTCCATCCCATCCTGAGTGTCAACCAACATCTCTCATCCCACAAATGGTGACCCCGGAGTGACGCACTCACACAGGATGGAGGAGAAACCGATCACTCTCCCAGTCTTCAAGCAACATGGAAGACTGGCTTATCCACACAGAAGCAGCCCTCATCGGCTCTACAGCTACTGTCTCTACACCGCAGGTTAGACACCCTAGAGCAGCTCTGCGACTCTAAGCAGACAGCGGCTCCTCTTCCTGCCCCAAGCACCACGTCCTACCGACCCCAACACACCCGTCCTGCCTCAGACGCCGCCCCGGCCCAGCAGTACCCTCTGCCACTCCTCCTGATGCGGCCTCTGCTCCTGACGCGGACCCACACACCCCTCTTTTCTCCCTCAGGTACCCCCTGCTACTGTCCTGTACCCTGCTGCTGTCACGGACTCTCCTCCGCTCCTGCTGACGCAGCCCCTGCTCCTGACCCAGGCCCACACACCCCAGCAGGCGCATCTGACGACTCTGTACCTGTCGCGAGTGAAGCACAACATTCATCGCCTCCACAACCCTCTTTCTCTCTCTCTTCTCCCACAGATCTTGTGCGTCTAGACAGTTGTCTCCTCTAGCGGCCGGCTCATCCACGCCCTCGCCGTTATGGCTCACATGTGGCATGCACCGCCCGTTCTGGCTCACATGTGGCATGCACCGCCCGTTCTGCCTCACATGTGCCATGCAACCCTGCAGACAACAGGTCTCCTACACCGCCTGGAGGGAAGGATGGAGTATTGTAGTGGATCCCTCCCTTACAAACGCTTTTGTCGCTGAGTAGCCGACCTCGCGAATTCCCCAGTGTATGCCTCGTGGTCTGGGTCAACCGGCGTCGCCTTACATGACGGAGGTCAACTACTAAGCCACGCCTACCTCCGCTATTTTAAGACCTGACCTCGTGGTGACCGCTCTCTTCCAGCTACAACAGCAAGCAAGCAAGCAACAACACCACCTCTGCCGCTGCCTGGCTGCCCTCACTCCCGCCGGCGAGCATGGCGACCCACAAGCTGTCCTCCTCTGAGCACCCTCACCAACCAGCTCTCTCTACATCACGCGTGTAACCAAGCTGCCACTTCCCAGCACCAAGCTGCATTGTACATCCAATACAACATGTATACAGAGAGCACATTGTGAGTTTCCTTTCTCCATCCCATCCTGAGAGAGATCCAAACACCCGTACCCCACAGTACAATGCAGCTTGGTGCTGGGAAGTGGCAGCGTGGTTACAAGCGTGATGTAGAGAGAGCTGGTTGATGAGTGCTCGGAGGAGGACAGGCAGCTTGAAGGGCGGCATAGTCGCCGGCGGGAGCGAGGGCCACCAGGCAGGAGTGGAGGTGTTGCTTGCTGGTGGCTGTAGGTAGAAAGAAGAGGCAGGTCACCACGAAGTCAGGTCTTATATAGCGGAGGTAGGCGTGGCTTAATAGTTGACCTCTGACCTGGAAGGCGGCGCTGGTTGACCTAGACCACGGGGCATACACTGGGGAATTCGCGGGGTAGGCTACTCAGCGACAAACAGCGTTTGTAGGGGAGGAATTCACTACAGTTTCACAAACTGTCCTGTTTTGGAATTAAGTACATAACTACATGGATGCATCACATTGTAATCCATTCAAGGAGTTGGCAGAGTTTGCTTTATCAGTTCTCGTCATACCCGACTCTAATGCTGAAGTAGAAAGGATATTCAGCAAATTAGAGTGAAAAATAAACTTCGAAACAGAATGGGAACAAAAATGGCTAATGCTTTTCTTGCAATATGAGCAGGTTTGAAAATAAATGAAAATCTTGTTTTGAATATGAAATACCGGCTGATATCTTGAATTTGATTGGAACTAGCAATGCATACGTCAGTGAACCAATCTTGAAATCGACACCAAGAGCAAGTACATCTCGAGAGGAAACAGAGGTAGAGGAATTCGATGATTCCTCTCTTCCTGTTTTAAAGGTAGGCCTTTGTTGTTTACCCGATACATTCATATTACTTTTGTGACATGCCCACCGGTGTGTTAATTAGCTATACCTATGTACCATACTTTTTATATTTATCATTCTATCTATTTATATATATTAATCAGTTTAATTGTCTATACATCTATATACGGTATATATAAAGAGGGTAACACATGCTATTATCTATACAGTTACAATCTAGCGGGTTTTGGAGTCTCATATAGCGGGAATGTAATTTGTAGATGGCAACACTGGAACCTGACTCTTATTCTTCACTTTTGCACCAGACTTGACCTGCATCACTGGAGCAACCCGAGTAAGTTACCAGGTTTAGGTACATTCAGGAGCCAGTGCATGCTCAATACTTGCCAACAGAGACGTGACCGATTACCCAAGCGACTATCAAGCCGATCAGTGGTGAAGAGGATTAAAGTAAAGGTAAGTAGTAGTATAGGGGTGACGGACCATCACAACACACTGGAGGTGTTTACTTGTTTCTGTGTTTACTCGTGTTTACAGCACCTGTGACTAATGTGTCTTTAAGGTAAGATTCTTCTACACAACTGCAGCGTTCTAGGTTATGGATATTTGGTTGAAAAGGTTGGTGGTTTGTGTTGGATGATGATTTTTAACGTTTTGATTATTTTAGACTGTGACCATTGTTAATGTGTATTGTGAACTTATGTGACGAGTTTACTCATTAAATACCTGTATAAATTTTGGGGTATTATTTCACTTGTCACTAGACGAATCTCTGGAATTTTATAGTTGCAATAGGTAATTTTTATTTATTTTTTATCTTGTAATTAAAAATTTACAATTTACATATACAGTACACATAAATATTACATAATATATTTGTCCGTGAAATATTTGGATGACATTTCTTTTAGAATACATTAGATCATCCATTTATTACAAAATATCCTGCTTTTAATTAAGGCTATAATATCCTTAACATAATTTTCATTCCTACTTAATCACGTACAGTAAATATAATCTGACATTAGCATGATCATAGTACAGTGTTCTTATCCTTATTATTACTACAGTTATTATTAAACATTAGAAAATTCAGAAATAATTTGCTGTTAACATTGCAGACTGTATTCAGGATATTTTTAAACCATTTTAATATCTCTGTTTTGGAAGCAGAAGTAAAAATACATGTAATGGATATTCTACCTCACCACATCTTACACAACTATCATCTTGTTTTATGTTTAACATTTTTAGTCTCTGATTTGTTGGTAGAGTTTCATGAATATACCTTTAAATGAAGCCTCTCCGGTGAGGATCCATACATTTACATGAAATATTTTCTCAAATAAAAGGCCATTTAAACAACTGATAGTTTTCTTCAACTGCTGGTTCAGTCCATGTCATTAACATATTGTACATATCTTTATTCCTGACATTGGGAAAGTTATCATGCCTTGCTATTCAAAGACATTTATTCAATGGCATTTTGGTAAAATTATTGATTCGGGTATCTAGCGCTTTTATGTTATTTATATTCATTAATTTATTTTTTAATCAGTACTAATTTAGACGTTTCTAAGATACTTTTCGGTCAGTATTTAGAAAATGACGCCAGGCAACTGAATATTGAAAATAGGTTTTTCTAGTGTAAATCATCGTGTTAAATACAAATATAACCTTTATTGCCATCGGAAATGAGCAGTAGTTGAGATATTGGAAACAAAAGTGGAAGGTCACGCAATGCAAAAAGCTAAAAACTCTAACCTAACCTACCTCACCTCACCTAATCTAACCCCCTAGTGTGTAAGAAACTTACCTTAAGTAAGTGATACAGAAGGATAGAGTTGTGTGGCTTGAATGAGGAAATGGTGTCTTCGTCACTGTCCGTCTCTTATCACAGTACCATGCATGATGATTTATATAGTGTTGACACTCTGAATTACATCTTGGACACTTTACAGATGAAACAAAAACACCGTGAGCCCTAAAATTTATAGCGGCTGCTGCTTCATTGTCCAAAATGTGCTGAATAATTCGGCAGCCAGCCGATGTACAGTCAGCCAAAGATCCAGCCACCCCACCCTGGTTCTTGTACTGGCAATACTTGGCAAAGTATGGCTGTATCTAAAAGTGATTGTGATTGGTGTATCTATTTTTAGCAATATTATTGTCAGAATAAATATTAAACAATCAAAAGGTAGAATTTTTTAATAATAAACTATTCAATGTTATTTCAGGTCATGAGAAGTTTCCAAATGTTCGAATATTTGCTTAAATAATGAAAAAAAATTAATGAATTGGCAGCTCAACTACAAAGAGGGCTGCCACAAGATTAGCATTGTGGTTATCCAGCGATTTTTAGGATTTTAAGTTTTGGAATCAATAGTGCTTATTAATTAGACTCGGAAGACTGTGAGTGGGGGTCACAACAGGGTCATCTTCCTTGTCATCCACAGGTCGCACTTGCCGCTGTTTCTCCGACTGGGGGGGAAGGGTAGAGCTTGTGGGCAGTGATGAAGAACTTATGTAAAACCACCTTGTCTTCGCTGAACTGCATGATAAACAAGTAGCGCACCAAGTACTGCTTGAAGTAGGTGGACTTGTTGCCAGGATGCTTCACCCACTCATTGAGATCCCTCCACAGACTATACCGAGCTGTGATTGGTTGATCCAAAATCATACCCACCAATGAACGTGCAAGATTCTTGGGAAGAACAACTGCTCATATGTCAGACTCTAGCGCATGCGTAATTCAGCCTAATTACCAACAGACAAACATACAAGAGCTCTCCAGGACGGTGTTAACATCAACAGTAACTCAAGAAATTGTTTGATTTTCCAGAAAATGTAGTGCGATGTTCTCTGGAAGTATTAATGATCGGGCAAAATGCCATAGAATAAAAGTGTATTGTCTAAACTACTGATTAAAAATAAATAAATAAATAAATAAAGATCGTCGGATACCCAAAACGATAATGGTATTGACATTTCTGGCGCAAATTATGTTTGAGATATTTAAAATTTTATTATGCGTGTTTGTACGCGGTGGTACACACCCAGAACATCGAATGATGGGCGGTACACACCCAGAACATCGAATGATGGGCGGTACACACCCAGAACATCGAATGATGGGCAGTACACGCAAAACATCGAACAACTGTGGAGCTCCCCAGTTAGGTTAGGTTAGGGTTTTGTTTTTCTGATGGTTTTCGATGTGTTTTGAACTCTTTTTTTTACCTTGGATTTTTATAAAAATCTCTAGATTTTGAAATGGGAGGGGGCTAATCTCAAAATCTATTGATTTGCTCCAGAAATGAAAGAAGTTTGCTCATATTACATCAAAAACCACTGGAAAAAACATAGGTTCAACTTCAGATTTGAATAGTGGCAACAAGTGAAATTTTACCATTTTTGGTAATTATCCACAAACAGGACCAAATGATAGAGATGTGAAGAATAACACATTCTGAAGGCAGTTTCTTGTGGTCTACACAGCGGCGATAATAAACGTTCGGGGAAAATGCATAATAATTGAATTATAATTTCCTACCCTGTCAGTCTTGACCCCACACAAGGTGGGCAAGGCGTAAGAGCCTAGGGAAAATTTAGAATTAAAAATATAGCGATAAGAACCTAACGTAACGTAATCTGGTCATTTGTACTCGCCTGCAAGGTAATTATTCCGCCAACACTAGCATATGATTATTTAGGCTTGTAAACTGACATATGGAATAATCTTTTTTTTCCTAAAATTGCACATTCTAACAGGACGCAGTCATAAATTTGTATAAAAATAAAATATGTACTGTAATGAACTAAACAGTATTTAGGTCTGTTATTCTGCAAGTACTTGCTTATGAGGCAACTTTGAAGCCCTGCCAACCTTGTGCATCATCATTGCCATTAGGTTAGGTTCATCTTAAAATTATAAGCCCTCAGCATATTCAACACTTACAATTAAGCACCCTAATACTAACCTAATCTAACCCCCAGGTTACATTAGGGTGTTTAATCATCAGTTGAAATAAGCTGGGGGCTTATTTTTGGGTGATACCCATTTGGTTAGGTTCAACTGAGCTGACTGTGTCATATGCCAGCATTAATGATGTAACCTCAGAGCCTAGATGAGAGATTGTTGTTGACATACTTGTGATTATTTTATAGGGACATTTCCATTATTGTTTTTGTAAGTTTAGACACTAATGTACAAGTACATATCTCCCCCCCCCCCCATGCTGAATACTTTGCATAAATCCCATCAGAAAATCTTAAAATAATGGTAACCATCTTATTCTTTATCGCTGTAACTGTGCTGTTCAGTGGTACTATAGCTACAGTACTTTATTGATGTTGGATTTGTGAAGCAGATGCTGTTTTTTGTACAGTACAGTAAAGCTTATAATATATAGTTTTATCTTGTTTTTCACAGGTAGTGTCATCAAAAGTGTGGTTGGTACACTATCATGGTGGTAACTGGCGCAATGGAGGCAGGTCCTGCTGTAAACATGGATGCTGGTGGGCGGGGCATCTCCACCACCATGCTGTTGACTGAGCTGGACCGCTTCCTCAACTTGGCCTTGACAACTTCTGACAAAAGGAGTCATGGTGGGAGAAGAGACGTGATCAGTGAGGGAGAAGAACAGACAACTGCAGAAACAGCTCTTTTTCTCCTCCGCAACTTACCTCCAGGAAGACCAGCAGCTCTGGCATTCTTGGCCCACACACTGTCCAGGCAGGTATGTCAGCTGCATTACTATACTGTACAAGTGCTTGAAAGGAAGAATGTATGCTCAGTTTATCCATCCCAACAGTCATGAAGAAAAGAAGTACCACTCCACATTCATCAGCATTTTTGGCTAGACTTTAGAAATGGAATCCAAGGTCTTTATAAGTAGACTATTAATATTGTATACAGTTAAAATGAATTGTGTGGCAATGGTGAATTACCAAGTGTGGTGAGGAGTACGAGGAATGATAAAGTATTTATCATGGCAAACATTTGTGTTTGTAAGAATAGAATATCTTTATGAGTGCATGAGTGTACTGTACTGTACATTAGTTAAGATAGATAATGACTTAGGAAAGTGGATGGTGAGGAATGCAGAAACAAGATAGTGTACTGTTTATTATTGAAGGAATTGGCAAGATGTCCTTACAGCTAACTTCCACCCATCGATAATTGCTGCCATTGAAGGGTTAACATACTTTTCGTTCTAATAACTCACTGACTTCAGTAATTATATTTTAGATATTTTTATAATAAAATTTTTACCTGTTTTTCTTTTAGAAACATTTATTCACCTTGATACAAGTCTATAGTAACCATGTACAGTACAAGTGTTTTGTTTATAAGTGATTTTATTGCATTAAAACCTGAAGTCAGTGAGTGACATCAATGTGAAAAAGTTAATAAATTTTTGTTGTTTTCAGGTATCATCTCACATGCGAGGATACACTGCCGGAGATGGTTCCCGAAAGACTGAGAATACAGACGAGGGACTCTCTGGACAAATTGAAAGCCTGTTAGGAGATCTGTTAGAATCTACTCCTGGGGTATGGGGGCCTCTTGTTAGTCAGTGGGCTGTAGAACAACTGGGGCGCTGGTCTGTAGAATGGGCCAATACAGTAGTAGGTCGTGGAGATGCTACACTGGAGGAGGTAGTTGCTGGTTGGCTCTCATGTAGCCCTGCACGTGCCTTGGCATCTCTTACTGTGGTGTGTGTGGCTCATGACCCAGACACTGCTGTAGCTGCTCTTCTTGATGCTAGTGCTGCCAGTGGACCAGCCCTTGATTGGCTTGTGGCACACGTTGGCTGTTCCTTCCCGGCGACTGTTATAAGTCGAGTGTTGGCTCTAGGATTGCGAAGTTTTGCCTCTTGTCACGGTCGACCACCGGAACATCAGTTGGCCAGTGTGAATAAGATCCTGAGTCACTTAGCAGATCGTCATTTACCAGATATTCGTCGTAGTCTACATGCCATTTTACTACGTACCTTTACTGGTGCATCAGACGCAGAGGCTCAAGCTTCTGTTCCATTCTTGCTGTGTCTTGCTGTCACCAGTAGGTCAAGGGCAGTATTGGCTGCTCTTACCTCTGGTCTGGATACCCTCTTAATGCCAAGTGACCGTCTGGCTGCCCTGGCTAACCAAGTTGGATGGTGGGTTCCGAGATACTTTACAACACATTGTCAATTACAAGAAATGGTGGTTCACTTGGTATTGGACACAGGGGGAGCTGCTGCACCTTCCCTTCTGCGTCTTCTGCTTCAAGGTGCGGCCCCTGCTCCTAAACTACCTCCTTCTGTTGCTGCTGCTGTCAATAATATTCTGCAAGGTGTGGTAGGAGAAATCTGTATGGTCACTTACATGAGAAAGAATGCTGGATCCAGTCGTATTCACATCCCTTTCCTTGTGGGTCTTCGTGGTGGTGGGCTAGATGGAAGTGACGTAGGAATGGCAGTTGGCGGAAGAGCAATATCTCCTGTTGCCAGCCTCGTAGAGGAGACATTAGCCACTCCAGGTAGTCAAGCATCAATTGGTCATCTAAAGCAGTTGATCACCTTAGTTGTGGTACAGCAAGGGCCGGCAACTGCAACTACCACTCTCGGTCACTTGCTTCACTGTCGTACTCAAGATGGCAAAAGCGGTCATCAACAAATTCTCTCTGCTGTCATCACAGCCTTGATGATATATCAAGCTGTCCAACACACACCAGATTCACCATTGTCCACAGCTCTTGCTGGGGCATTGCAACCTCAGACAGGTTCTGCCACAATTCATGCATCACTTAACAGTTTGGAAACATTACTTTCACGGAGTCGGAAGGAAAGACTGCACATACACCCAACACTGACCGAGGCTATCTTAATAAATATTCCCCTCTTGGCTGAGCTCGTAAATGACCCTGCCCTGGGAACTGCTGCTGTACAGGTGTTATGTCAGTTACCTTTGAAGAAACCGATCCCAGTAGGTCATGTTTTATGTTTGAGTCATGCCATAATTTTCTTTCTTTTTAGTAGCTTACATGAATCAAGTATAATCAAGAAGATCTGTAATGTTGGAATGTGCCAATGTGTGTTGAGCCAACTGGCTCACTCTTCTCTTGCCCTGAACCTTATAATACGCCTCTTGGTGGAAGGAGTATTTCGCCCTGAGTGTTCTCGCCTTTTTGGTGCACAGAAAGACGCTCGCTTTGATTCAAAAGAAGTTCCGGGAGAGATGTTAATTCAAGCCAACAGGCAATTCAACTCCTGGGTGAAGGTTCCACAGTCTCACACAAGCATCTTTCACATGGGTATTATTGGAAATGGGAGACTTTTACAACGACACCAAAACATATCTTTCCCTTCTGATATAATCAAGCTTCACACACAGCTCCTTCTGAACACACTCAGAGTTTGCTGTGCTTCTCAAGCTAATGGAGAAGGAGCTTCTACTGTTGCCCTTCTTTTAGTGGAGCTCATTTCTCCAGATATAATGTTCAATGGATTTCCTTGGCCTGAAGAATATATTAAGTTTACTTTTGAGAGAGATTTGGCTATTAAGAAGACTTTTGAAGAATTTCCAATTGCTTGGTCCCTTCTTGAGTTTGTGGCCACTCACCGTGCTGCTCTTAGCTACTGCTCTGTGTTGGTTCGAGCTCTCACAGCTGCTCTCACTGCCTACTGGAATACCTGTCCCCTTGCTACAGCCAAACAAGCCCCAGAAGCTCTTCAAGCTACCAGATACCTGCTAGAAGTGATGGTTACAGCCCAGTTCTTGCCAGGCCCCCTGGGAGTGTTGCCTCAGATGGTGAATGCCTTGGCACCATTTGAATTAGTGTGTATACTTCAGGATGTGTGGATGTTCATGCGTGATAACACTCCTTCTCCCGACCGTTGGTTGGAGCTGCCGTCAGGTCATCACCAGCGTATATCTGACCCTCCTATCACTCCTTGCTATACAGAGCGTATCCAGCGCATCATCCAGTCTAATGTGGCAACGCTGGGGCACCTTATGTCTTTTATGGTGAATGCTGAATAGTGATTAATATTAACTATTAATGTGGCTCTAGATGATTTTGTATGTTTTATAATGTAAAAACTTTGGAACTCCTGTATAGTGCCAGTCTTGGTACTGTACTCACCTGCAAGACTTTCTTTTACAATAAATAGTAAACCTTCATAGATATATATGATTTAGGTCACTACATTAGTAAATTATAGTGAAATGCTTTCCTGGCACCTTCCTGTAGTAACTGTTGTATCTTGTAGGTTTAAGTGATTTTACAAGATCATCAATACACTAGATAGCTACTTTTTCTGTAACTTGGAATTACACATTACCATTATTTTGATACTTCTCATTTCTCTATGCTATTTTATGATTATTCCTATGAAAAATTAGGAGTAGTTATTACTCTTGCTAGGTACAATTAATCACTGTTAGCTGGAATCCCTCAAACCCTAACTCTCTAATAGCCGGAATTGAAATTTGTTCGGAAAATCGTTCTCAAAGCCGGAATTTTTTTTAAATTCTGGCTTTGGGAAAAAATTTCCGAGGTTGAAAATTGAGAGCATTTTCTGAAAATGTCTTGAATAAAGGTGAAAGCTGAATTTTTTTTTTTTGTGGGGTGGAACCTGACCTGACCTAACTCGTTAGGTGGAGGTAGGTTGGGGGATTAGTGGTCTCATATTACTGACCTTCTGATGGAATGCCAGGTCACCCTTTCTTGAGTGAGGGATTAGTGGGTCTCATGACCTGAAGATGTATTGAATAAACACAAGAGCTCAAGTATTTTAGAGAGACTGTAATAAGTACAGTGTAAGTATAAATGAGTGAAGTTGTATCTCTTCAACATTATATTACATAACATTTAAATATGGAGTGAGAAAGCAGAAATGTGTGGATGATTAGAAAGATGGAGTGAAAAGGAGTGTAACATGCACCAGTGTTGCCAAGTGATAAACTCAACAGCTGATCTCTTAATTTGCCTCCATGCAGTTACATAACAAGACCCTCACTGTATGCTTCTTGTCTTAAGTGTGTGTGTGTGTGCGTGCGTGCGTGCGTGCATGCCAAACATTCAAAGAAATATTGTTGAATTTGCCAAGCACATTGGAGGATTTGAAGAAGTTGATGAATGTTCAGGTTCAGGAGTCAGGTGGTGAGGTGACATGCCAAGACACTTACACAGCACACATTAACAGCACTACTAAACCATTTTATTATAACATTTTACTTTATAATTTCTATTTTAAAATTAATTGATACATGATGGCTTGACTTGGCTACTTTTGTTCTTAGACAACTGATCAATGAATAAACCAGGGTTTCTGGAGATGCATTATACACTAGTGATGTCACGAAGCTTTGCAACTGCATAAATTATCACCTGTACTCAAATGTATGAAGTTTATTACAAAAAATTTTGTCTTATGTAAACTATGGTCTGTTTATACTCAAATTAATTGTGGTCCTGCAAGAATAACAGCAATTCAAGTTATATTTTCCTAAGTCAAGTCAGTGTCATTTTATAAGTGAAAACTTAAACTCCCTGTCTTATAATCCTTGAGTCCACTTTAATCTCCCCTCCTGGCTGTCAGCACCCCACCTTGTTATGAATTTTGTTTTGGGTTTAAAGTTTTCTCTTATAAAATGTCACATACTTGTCTTCACCAAATATAACTTGCATTGCTGGAATCCTTGCACGATGGCGATTAATTTGATAAAAACTTTCCATAGTTTGCACAAGAGATAAAATTTTTACTTATTTACCATAGTACATTGAATTGAATTGAAACATTTTATTTAGCCAGAAAAACACAGATACAGAGTGGATAGTAATAACAATATTAACATGGCTGAGCCAGTTGAGAACCTGAGCTCTCTTTTAGGCACCTGATATATACTATACATTTCTTTCAAGGAAGTATTATGGAACATTTAGTATAATCTGGAATAGTACAATAGCATGGAACATTGAGTACAAAATGAGGTAGTCTCTGGAAGGTTATATCAGCCTGTGGTAGTCTCTGGCGGGTTATATCAGCATGGGGTAGTCTCTGGCAGATTATATCAGCCTGGGGTTGTCTCTGGCAGGTTATACCAGCCTGTGGTAGTCTCTGGCAGGTTATATCAGCATGGGGTAGTCTCTGGAAGGTTATATCAGCCTGTGATAGTCTCTGGCAGGTTATATCATCCTGTGGTAGTCTCTGGCAGATTATATCAGCCTGGGGTAGTCTGGCAGGTTATATCAGCCTGTGGTAGTCTCTGGCAGATTATATCAGCCTGGGGTTGTCTCTGGCAGGTTATATCAGCCTGTGGTAGTCTCTGGCAGGTTATATCAGCCTGTGATAGTCTCTGGCAGGTTATATCATCCTGTGGTAGTCTCTGGCAGATTATATCAGCCTGGGGTAGTCTGGCAGGTTATATTCCCCCTGGGTGATCTCTGGCAGGTTGTATCAGCCTGGGGTTGTCTGGCAGGTTATATCATCCTGGGGTAGTCCCTGGGAGGTTATATCAGTGTGTGGTAGTCTCTGGCAGGTTATATCAACCTGAGGTAGTCTCAAACAGGTTATATCAACCTGAGGTAGTCTCAAGCAGGTTATATCAGTCTGGGGTATTCTCTGGCAGGTCATATTAGCCTGGGGTAGTCTCTGGCAGGTTATATCAACCTGGGGTAGTCTCAAGCAGGTTATATCGGTCTAGGATATCGCATAGTCTCTGGGGTTATATCAGCCTGGGGTAGTCTCTGGCAGGTTATATCAGCCTGGGGTAGTCTGGCAGGTTATATCAGCCTGGGGTAGTCTCTGGCAGGTTATATCAGCCAGGGGTAGTCTCTGGCAGGTTATATCAGCCTGGGGTAGTCTCTGGCAGGTTATATCAGCCTGGGGTAGTCTCTGGCAGGTTATATCAGCCTGGGGTAGTCTCTGGCAGGTTATATCAGCCTGGGGTAGTCTCTGGCAGGTGCCTGGGTAGTCTCTGACCATCCCTGGGACACTGGCACTCCTTGGGATACTGGCACTCCTGGGACACTGGCACTCCTTAGGCACTACACTCTGGCACTGGCACTCCTTGGGACACTGGGACACTGGGCACTCCTTGGGACACTGGCACTCCTTGGGACACTTCACTCAGGGGGACACTCTCTCAACACTCCTTGGGATACTCTGGCACTCACTGGGACACTGGCCATCTCTAGGACTGGCACTCTTGGACACCGGCACTCCCTGGGATGCTGGCATTCCGTGGGACACTCTGACACTCCCTGGGACACTGGTACTACCTGAGACACTCTGGTAATTCTTGGGACACTCTAGGACTCCCTGGGACACTCTAGGACTCCCTGGGACACAGACTCTCTAAGGCACTCTGGGACTCCCTGTGACACTGGGAATCCCTGGGTCACTGGCACTTCCTGGAGCACTCTGGCACTTCATGGGACACTGGTACTCCCTGAGACACTCTAGGACTCCCTGGGACACTGGCACTCCCTGGAACATGCTGGTACTCCTTGGGACACTCTGGAACTCCCCGGGGTACTCTGGGACTCCCTGGGATACTGGCACACTCTGGGACAGTGCCACTCCCTGGGACACTGGCCAAAACCTAACCTAATTTTTTTTAACTATCCTGAGTTAACTACATCATATTCATTCTATATTATTATTCTCGTTATTAACAATTCTCAGTCACTTTTCTTCAATGACGTTTCTCAAGCAAATGTCCTATATTGTTATTATTGTTATTGTTTTTGTTATTATTGTTATTGTTTTTGTTATTATTGCTCATATAATTGATACTACGATAACGGCTTTATTTTCATTCAAAGTAATTTAATTCCCGCTTTTAATCTCATTCAAAATAATTTGATTAAGTCTGGCATTTAATGTTTATTTACACTCATTTTCTTTGATGCTAAAATAAAATAAAACAAGATTTATAGGGGCAACGTCTTTACTTATTTATTATTGTAATATATAGAAATTATTTTTCTTTATCTTCGCCACTGGCCAGCCTGCTAGCCGTTTGGGAGCCCTATCACTTAATTAAGCACTGTGGGCATGTACTGGTTCTCTGTTATGTACTGTTAGCATATACTGGCTCTGTCACGCACTGCTGGCAACTTAGAAAACAGATTAAGGTACTTCCACGCCTGGAGTAGTGGCACCCCGTCTGGAGTACTGTTGAAGTGGATGTGGGGTTTTAGATGTTTGTGTTCACACTCAGGATGGAATGGAGAAAGGAAACTCACGATGTGCTCTCTATATACATGTTGTATTGGATGGACTGTCCGTTGATTGAAAATGTCCAGAGGGCCACCAGACTGGTGCCTGCACTTTCACACCTCAGCTACCCTGCATCTTTCTATCTATCTATTACTATAATCAGCGGTACGGTAACCACCCAGTAAGGTCGGTAATTACCATTGTTGTAGTCGGCGAAGTACTTCGTCTACATTTTCTACGTTAGGTTTTCTTAGTTAAAGGTTTAATTATTTTAAAAAGTATTATATTATTTTTAGATAAAAGCAAATGTGTTAGTAATATTATTAAAGTATTTTTTATGATATAATTGAGTAAATCAGTAATGTTAGCAGCCTTGATTCGTCAACCAAGGCTCTCCGAAGCTGAAGAATTTGGACTACTGTACAGTATTCTTATTTCTAATTATTTTCCCTAAAGTTTTCCTTGTTTTTATTTTCTACGCCACGATATAAAATAATTTACCCTAAAATTTTTATTAAAACTTGTCTGTACGAATCCCTCGTTCGGTTAAAGTTTTTGGCGGGAAGGACTATACAGAGACGACTTGCGTCACTTGCCATTAGTGTGTGCTGCAGTGCCCATACAGACACAGAGGCGGGAGGTGCTGTCGGTCGTCTCTCTCACTTGACGGGATGTCCTTTAACTGTATTGTAAGTGTAAAGGTCGATATATTAAGGTTATTTATTTGTTGATTTTGTACCAAGTGATTTATTTTAAAAGGAAATGCTCTCAATGGACTTTTAAAAAATGAAGATGGACAAGGATGAGTTAATTTATTAGTTATGAACAAGCATAGGTTAATGGTCGTTAACGCTCGTAATCACACTGGCAAGTTACTTTAGAGAATACTTTACTATTTTGGCTTCTGCTTTTATTTAAATCTGGTTTAGTTTTGGTTACCGTACTTAAGACTTCGTGAATATTGAGTAACGTTCATCATACTTCAGTTTTGGCGAGGAGGAATTCGTGGAAGCGTTCACCATCAATTATGGGAGAAGTCTCTTGAAGAGGGATTCAGCGAGGTAAACAACAAAAATGGCGTCGCTGGTAGGAGAATTGTGAAGCGGGATAGAGTAAATAAAAAAAAATATTTGAAACCGTAATAGAAAATTGTCTTAATATACTTAAAATCGTCAAAACAATAAGTGCAGAAAAAGTAAAGAAATCGACAAACAACTTCTGGTGATAGCCGTTACCTACACCTTTACCCAGGATTGACTTAACTTAAAGTATTAAGAATGTTACTCGTAAGATTATTTTTCTTTTGAAGGATCCAGTAGATTGTTACTGTGGTGTTAAATGCCAGTTTGCTGCATCGGTGGCCGTCAGAGTGGATAGTAAAGCACCTCCTTATTTATTGAGGCTATTCTAGAGTTGAATTGAATTGAAACCGTTTATTTAGCCAGAAAAGATTGGATAATAATAACAATAACAGTATTAACATGGCTGAGCTAGTTAAGAACCTGAGCTCTCTTGTAGGCACCTGATTATATTCTGTACATTTATCTCGAGGAAGTATTATGTAACATTTAGTATCTGGAATAGTACACATAGCATTTATATAAGTATTATACGTAAGTTACAGTGGAATTGAAAAACATAACTATAATGGGGCAGCAGTACAACATGGTTTGTACAGTATTAAGGTTGAACAAGAGGACAGCTGTCAGGATTGTCTAGTTGGCAAATATATTTATTGCAATGGTTATATCTTATCCATTTACACGATAATTTCCGATAAAACGATTTTGATGGTACAATAAGAGTAGGTATATACTGTATAGTATGTATTACAAGAAATGTCAATACCTAGACAATATATATTTTTTAAGATTATTTAAAGGAAGGGAGCGTAGTCTTTGCTTATAAGTTGTTCCACCCAGACCTTCACAACATATTTTATGGTGGTCTGGTACTGAGAGGAGCACATGGGGGGTCTTATGTGCCTTTAGTTGTATCTCTGATTATTCCGGAACTGGAAATAATTATTGTCCAGAAAACTGTCCCTCTTCTATACTAATAGCTGATTGGTTCATAGAAAATTCAATCCGTTTTCACAATTAGTATGCAGATCTGTTATCTAAAATGTTAAATTCTTACTGGATGGTTGGAGCTTCCAACAGCCTTGATATTATTTACCTATAAATAGTTGACCACTTGATCAGTTAATAATTACTGGGTGTTGTGCCGGGTAGACTTAAACGCTGCAATAATTTAAAACCCAGCTGCTCTTAATAATGCAGCTTCAAAAATTCCTTAAGACTATTACTAAAGTTGATGTATTTGTGGACGGTTTCTCTACCACCAGAGTAAATTGTTTTATTTAAATACTGTATTTGGCCGATACTTTGTATATAGTCTGGCTTTGGTGGTGAGACTATATAGTGACTTAACTATTTTACCTGCATGATAAAATTGACCTAAATTATAGCATTAACTCTGGCGGCAGATTATTGGGAGAGTTTTGAATGTGGTTATTAATGGTGCATCACTAATGTATTGTTCTTCAATTACTGTACTAGATTAAGTGGATTAATGTGGTACTTCCATAGAGGATAAAACCTTCAGTTTAGGGTCATGTTATACAATACTGTATTAGGATAAATTAGTATTGTGAAAATGTTATTGAAACTTTTTATAGGTAATAACTTGACTTTGCTTCCAGTAGGTTCTGGACCTTGGCAAGGAGAGGTGTGCACTCTGCTGTACCACACATCTTGCCTCACTTGTACTGCTGTACTAGGCTTCTCTTCTCCAATATCAGGATGGCAAGTGATTCACAACACAACTAAAGGAAGCAGGTGATACAGCCCAGACCCAGCCATCCACCCCTCCTCTCTACCTCAGGTAAAGAATATAACAAGTTCAGTTGATGTAAAAATATACAAAAAACAAGATACTACATATAAAATTGCCTCGGAATGATCACTTACAGGGGAGTAAAGTTTACTTTATCGTCCTGTGTCAAAATGAACTTTTCCAACACTGATTGGAATTTCTCTGCCAGTTTATCCTTAAAACCAAAGGCAAACAAATTGCTCTGGGATATTCATTGACCATACTAGATTTCTTGGGGCTATAAATTTCAAGACAAAATAGAAAGTAATGGAGAAATTATACTTAAATTTATATATAAGAGAAAATGTGTAAAGGGTCGAGAATATTGAAAGGGGATTATGGGGCTAGAATTGATGTACAGTCTTGGTCAAAAGTGCTGAACACTTGACAGTATTTGGCATGTAAGTCCCGAAGATCTTTGGTATTAAGTAGAGTTTAATCCTATTTTGTGGTTCACGCATATGATAGTACTGTTGTGTTATTAGTACAGTATATCCCAATCATATAACTCAAGTAGATGACAGATATTGCCAAGTGTTCAACACTTTTGATCCTGACTGTACCTATGATCCTTTATTGATGACAGGAATATCATAACAATTGACCAAAGTTAAAAGCCCCAAAACTGGACTGGCCGTAACTACTTATAACTTCTCAACCAATCGTTTAATACATCAAATTTATAACACCAGAAATAATTATTGGTCATGTTTATGCTTGACTATAATTAATTCAGTAAAGTACATAGTTACCTACAAGATGAGTATGTGTAGTAAATAATAAAGTACTCTTAGCAACATTCACTTGTAATACTGTACCAGACCTGTGACTGACCCACTCGAGGAATTCATTGACGTAAAGTTAGAGGAAAGTAAAAATATTCATCACAAATCAATAAGTTCTGGGTCAAGTCATTGAAAGAAAACATTTAAAATATATTAACAAAACTATGAACCAAACATACAGGAAATATTGTAGTTAAGCATCAATAACTATTATGGTTAAACTAAACTCACTTGTGGGTAAGTTTTGTAATGAAAGGTTTTTGGTGTTTATAGTTTAGTTAATATAAACCATAACTTGTACAGTTAGGTTAAGTTGCTGTACAGTTACTGATAATATTCCCTAGACACTTGTTCTCAAAGATCATTTGGTGAAAAATTCAAATTAACAAAAATTTATTTTTCTGAGTTTATAAATTTGGTTCTGTCAAGTGTTAAGGAATTTTGTCTAAAACACTACAGTATATTTTGTCATTACTATATTTAAAACTTTTTTATGGTAAAAAAAATTTGAATATTAATTTTACATTTTATTTTGTACAGAAATGTTCTGAACACTGGGGTGCCATGCTGCCCTAGACTGTGCTTACTGGCCACTGCCCTGTACTTGCTTGCTACTGCCGCCCTGGACGGCTGTGCTTGTTGGCTGCTCTGCTCTGTGCTGGCTGGCTGCTGCCCTGGACGGCTCTGCTCTGTGCTTGCTGCCCTGGACGGCTCTGCTCTGTGCTTGCTGCCCTGGACGGCTCTGCTCTGTGCTTGCTGCCCTGGACGCTCTGCTCTGTGCTGGCTGTGGACGGCTCCTGCTGTGCTGGCTGCTGGACGCTCTGCTCTGTGCTGCTGCTGTGCTCCTGGACGGCGGTCTGCTCTGTGCTGGCTGCCCTGGACGGCTCTGCTCTGTGCTTGCTGGTGCTGCCCTGGACTCTGCTCTGTGCTTGCTGGCTGCTGCCCTGGACGGCTCTGCTCTGTGCTTGCTGCCCTGGACGGCTCTGCTCTGTGCTTGCTGACTGCTGCCCTGGACGGCTCTGCTCTGTGCTTGCTGACTGCTGCCCTGGACGGCTCTGCTCTGAGCGTGCTGATGTCCTAGACGGCTCTGCTCTGTGTGCCACTACCCTGGACGGCTCTGCTCTGTGCATGCATCTCCCCTAGACTGCTCTGCTGTGTGTGCGCAACTCCCTTGGACGGCTCTGCTCTGTGCATGCATCTCCCCTGGACTGCAAATTTATAGAGCCATTAAATTTCCATTAATAAATGTCTAATTGTCATTACGTCTTTATTAACCTTTTCCAGCATTTACAATATTTTCAACTTTTACAGACAATTGATTAAGTTCAGCTTCAGATATTGAAGCAAAATAATTTAATTAAACATTTGAAAAAATATCTAATTTATTATATACAAATATAATATACAAATGAAAAATATATATATAAACTTGAAAATTAAACAAATGTATATATATAATATATATATATATATATATAAAATAAATAAAAAAATATATATATAAATAAATGATATAAAATAAAAAAAGTATAAACAAAATATAAATATATAATAAAAACAAATAAATATAAAATACAAAAAAATAACCTAAAAACCTGAGAAAATAGCTGAAAACACAGGAAAATAGCTAAAAATGTGAAAAAAATAGCATTTTTTATGAAAAAATGGCTAAAAATAGCAAAATTTGAGCAAAAAATGGTCCCTTTTTACCCTTAAGTGTTTTTTGAGTTTGCCATTGCCAGGACTAACGTTGAAAAAATTTGGTAAAGGATAATCGGAAGAGTCTCCGGAGCATGGCCTCTTCAAATTATCATTCACCAATAATATAAAAAAATACAAGCATAACGGACTACCTGGCCGTGGGAAGAGTAACTCAGTAGGCGCCCAGTGAGTTACTCTCCCCCTGTCCAGGTAGTCCATTATGCCTTAAAATACACAGATGCCAAGCTGGAGCTCTTAAGAAAGGCACAAATGTTTTACCTCTAAAACCACACAAACATTTATTATTACTCAAAATTTGCCCAGGAATAATTTTGGCCATTTTTGGACTTAGAATATTTTTTAACGATGAATTTTTGGACTTAGAATAATTTTAAACGTTGAATTTTTGGACTTAGAATAATTTTTTTACTTAGAATATTTTAAATAGTGTGAATTTTGGACTTAGAATATTTTAAACAATGAATTTTTGGACATAGAATATTTAAACGATGAATTTTTGGACATAGAATATTTTAAACGATGAATTTTTGGACATAGAATAATTTTAAACTTATGAATTTTTGGACTTAAAATACTTTTAAACAATGAATTTTTGGACTTAGAATAACTTTCGGATTTAGAATATTTTAAACGATGAATTTTTGGACTTATAAAAATTACTGTTTAGCACATCTAGACCTTAATAGATAAATACAAAAATATTTGGCAAAATCAGATTTAATACATCAAAATAATTCTGACATTTCGTTGCTACTATAATATGCAGTCTACTGGGGTATTTACACTGTACCCTCAAGTAAATAGGATCGCTGTAATTCGGATTTAATTGCGACGCTTCTCAAAAAATTAATTACCGTAAAATGATTTGTTTGGAATGCATATAAAATAACTGGAGTGGTTCAAAAGTTGCCTTGGCTGTCATATACACATTATATTATAATTATTGTGCAAATATAAATATTTTAAAATGTATATTCAATAATAAAGTAAATAATACAGTATAAATAATGAGGTGAGATCGTGGAATATATTGGCATAAGTGTAACGCCACACTGGTAAATGAAGTAAAACCCTATTGGAGAAATAAAGATGAAATTTTGGAGCTGGTTTGACTATAGTGCATTTTCATCAGCTGAGAAGAGATGCCCCACCCCTCCTCAAGAGTTGCATCATTGTTTCCAAATCTGTCCGATTAACCTGAAGTAATGATGTATTTCTAAATGAGCTTATTCATAATGACCGTTTCTGACGAAAAGATATTTAGCCAAATTATATAAAGATACATACATTAATTATTTCAAACTTAAACAATTGGAAAGTTTATCAGAAATATTATACAAGAATTAACTGTTAAACTCTGTGGCAAATTGACGCTTTCGACGTTTTTAATATATACTTATTTCTACCCACAATAAGACACACAAATTACATATCTCTTCCTCAGGGTAAAAACACACTATAGGTCCCTTCTTATGCCAAACTAACACAACAAAAACAAGGGAGAAACACATAAAACAAAGGAACAGTCTCCTGAGTTAGGTATAGGATTAAACTTCTTGATCACAAAGCAGTGGACCCCAGACCTGATCCTCAATACTATTAGACTTTCTAAATATCATCTACATATTATCAGTTCACCTCACAGTAAGTCTTACATTTATTTATTAATTGCATATTTACTTTATTATTACTGCTTTGTACACTTAAAAATATTTGTTTGTACAGTAATTATATATATACTGTAGAGCATTTTATAAGGCAGTCAAGGCTTGGTAACTGAGCGGTTGTAGGTTGGTATAATGAGGAACACCCAATTGAATAGAACAAATGAATACTGAATACGAAAGCGTCAATAATGTCAAATAGCTGAACTCGCTATTTGTATTTTCAGTAGTTCAGCGGGACCACAAACTAGACTATACCTCATTCAGTTGACAAAAAGAGACTCTTGGGTCACCCGAATTACTGAGAATACAAATAACCGAGTTCTGAAGACATTAATATTTTGACATTATTTGACAATTTCTCAATTTTTTGTAGGTTCAATTATTCATTTGTTTTCTGTTCAGTTACTATAGCAGCACTAACATTTCTTACAACCTGTCTCATGTCATTCATGGCTCCGCTCTAAATTCCTGTATCTCTTGGACACAGTTAGTTTCCTCCTTTCTCTCCTGAACCATCTCAGCTTAGCTTCCAGGTAATGTACTTCTCTCTGTTGCCAACCATCTTCCACATCTCACACAATCTTTTTTTTCTCTTTTTATCTCCACTTCATCATTCCCATTCCACCACACTCAACGGAACATCTTTCATTATGGCCCAGCTGCCTTGGTACACTGCCCTCAAAATACGTTTCCCTAGCCTCAACTCACAAGAAAAATGATTCCTTTACATTCAGTTCCTTCACAATTCCCCACACTCTTCTTGGAACATCCACCTTCTTTTCCCTTCTCCCTCCATCTTTAAGTAACACACAATAATACCCACGCCGCCATTGAATTCATTGCACGCACTCACGCCAAGCACACACACACGCACACACACACACACCCACGCCATCTAACCTGTTCTAATTTCCTGACCAAAATGTAGCCAATCTTGGGTTTCTGTGCCACCTGCCTGAGGCTCACATGGTCAGCCTTACTTGCCCTATTCTTAAAACACACGTTACATAACATCCCCAAACACATGTTCTTTTCACCTTCAGTATTCCTTATTCAAAAGCCTTTCCCACCATGCACACCCCTCTTACCCAGCGCTAATAAATTTGGACAATAAAATATTTGTTTTAACGAGATCACTACATTATAAACTTCTGCACCCCCTAAAAACAACATACACCTGGCATGACTATAATAGAATAATTGACGCTTGTCACTCACAGATTTTACGCAATAAATGACAGAACTAATTATAGAATTTAATGAACAATAAAATGTATTTACGGTTTAGTTTTCAATTCCAAATGGTAAATATATGTAAAGTAAATCTGGAACGGTTCAACAGTCTCACTAAATCATATTAATTTAAAGTCCTTAAAACACAAAAGGATATAATTTTGTTCTTTAATTTCAAATCAAATTGTGATGGTGTCTTGAAGTCCAGGTAAATTTAAAAAGATAAATTTAGCTAAATTATACCTGATAAACAGTGATAAATAAAGGTGTTCTGGTATATAATTAAAAGCACAGCTCTGTCAATCTTTCCAGAGCCACAGCTAAACACCTCAGTTTAATATTGGACTCCTCCACCTCACACTGGCTCACACTACAACAGAGTAACACCTGTGATGAAAACAACATTATCAGGGAAAAGCTCTCAAAATATTTACATACACTAGACCACTTTAGATAGATACATATATATTTATTCAGAAACTATCATAAGTTTACAATTGTCTAACCTGCATATAGACAAAGTAGGTATACAGTTCAGCATGTATATAGCTACTACAGGTATGTAGCAGCTCACTTCATGTATATGGGACAATATAGGTATACAATTCAAGTAGCATATTGTATTAGCCTCTGTCACATTAATATTATATAAATATGAGCTAAGGACATATATTCATTATATACATTCTGTCATGCAGACTCATTGAGCACATGTACAGCTACATAAGGATTTTGTTCTGCCTGCCACACCTCCTGGGGTGTACAGCCCATAAACAGCTTGTTCTGTCACACCTCCCGGGGTGTACAGCTCCATAATCATTTGTTCTGTCACACTCCTGGGGTGTACAGTATTGTTCATAAAACATTTGTTCTGTCATTGAATCTCCTGGGGTGTACAGCCTCCACAATCATTTGTTCTGTCACACCTCCTGGGGTGTACAGCTCATAATCATTTGTTCTGTCACACCTCCTGGGGTGTACAGCCCATAATCATTTGTTATGTCACACCTCCTAGGGTGTACAGCCTATAAACATTTGTTCTGTCACACCTCCTAGGTGTACAGCCCA